AATGGTCGCAAACTACATGAAAACTGCCGTAGGAGCATGAAAAAATCGATTATTCCCGATGGGAGTTAGGAAATGCAAAGTCGGTCTTGGCCTTTCCGCTAACCTGGAGCATGTGCCTGTAAATTTTGGTGCAAATCCGTCGGGAATTACGGCCGTGCATTCGTTACACATACACACACATCCTGCCTTTTATAGATAGAGAATAAAAGCTGCGATCGTTTCAATATTCTGATCGGTTCAATATACATGATCGTCCACTTCATAAAAAGACATTCCCTTTTTTCAGTCATTTCACTGAGATTTTTATAGTGGTTTTACACAAAGGCATTGCCAGTATATATGTGCTTTAACTGTCACAAAATTGTTACATATACAATTGTTATGGCTTTGATAGGCGGGCATGCCCAAACTGTTAGCTATAACGTTTCGGGTGTTGTTTTATCTTGGCTGGTAAAGTTAATTCATTGCAAGTAATAATGTTTCTATTCGAATGCTTACGTTGTATTTGTTGAACAAAAAAAGGCCTTTTCGCGAAACGCTTAACAAAAAAACTACTTCATTTCATCAAACTGTTGAATCTGAGTTTGTCACGTGTTTTCTATTCCCATTTGTCAATATATCGTTGACAGTGTCAAGACATGCAAATCTCGTAAGACCCTTTCAATATACAATTCATTTGTTAGTAAATTTCTACTAGTTTTACAAGCATAAAATGTGTGGATTTCGAGGATGGACGAGTATGGCATTAGTAGAAGGTGTCAATGTAGCTAGGCAATTATCTATCTATCAATCTATGAGTTAAAGATCAGATATAGATCAAATATAGAACGAAATCCGACAGGAAGATAAGATAAAGAATCATGAACAAACATAAAGATAAAAAAACGGCGGGGTTATCAAATAAAGGTAACAAAGGTAAGAAATAGCATATGTACGATGCATAAATATAAGTAGTTGAAATACGCATGTCAGGGTATAATCAAAATAAGGAATGAAAGAAAAGACATATATACATATACACACATAAAAACAACCACATATACTTATATATATATATATATATATATATATATATATATATATATATATATATATATATATATATATATATTCTAAAATTCGCTTAAAAAGATAAAACAGAACTAATTTTTTTTAATTTAATTATGTAGCTTCGGTTTTTGAAGGATAATAATTCATGTAAATCGAAGGAACCATATTTTTAAATCAGTTAATTTATAATATCTATGCTCTGTAAATTTACATTGAGCCCTGTTTTTTTTAAAATAAAAATATCAATAAGGACACCGGATTATATATCTTACTGTTCTTTCTTTTCTTTACTATATATATATATATATATATATATATATTTATATATATATATACATATATATGTGTGTGCGTAAAATAAAAAATATAACAAAATCCACAAGGCCAAACAAAATATGTACACACACAAACAAACAGGATATAAGCAAAAATAAAAACTCAGGGACATACCCGCATATATACAAATAAATGCATAATTATACAAATATACACACAAACACACACACACACATATATATATATATGCCCCTAGATAATACACTCTTTTATAAACAGGTGAAACATATATACTAACAGACATGCACACATGCTTACCAAGATAATGAATTTGGAGTCCATAAAAATTAAGTCATGAAGAACGACAATTATTCAACATCAACTTAACAATCTATGTTTGGTTAAATCTCTGGTAAATATTTCTGTAGATTAGAATTAACGACGATGATCTAGTTAAAAAAAATTGCCAATATTGTATTGTACTATATATATATATATATATATATATATATATATATATATATATATATGTATTAAATCATTGCAAACATTCGTGCCATATTAAAAAAAATTAAATCAAGATTTTACGTAATACATGCAAAGAAACGCAAAGAAACAAAAGAAATCTTAAGCGCAACTTCTTCAGGTAGTGAAAGGTAGTTGAAATATCAATTTTCAAATTCTTACCAATTTCTTTCATCGAAATATTCTTCTTACTCTCCATTATGACAAGCAACTCGTCTTCATCGACGTCGGAATGTCACCCAGAATGCGGTTGATCGTCTAGGTTAAAATCACTCTGAGGAAATCTGTCAAACCACTTTTTGACCACCAGATAACCTGGAGCCGAATCCAAATATATTTCCTGAATATCTTTTTTTTTCTTTATTCGCACTTTGGACTCTGACTTCATTCCGCAATTTATACAGAATAATATAGCGAAAAAGTGCAACTTTTCATTCGCCATGTTTATGGCAGTCATTTTTTTAACACACCAGAAAGTGACAGCCAAGGAAACTCCAGTGTCAATATGCGATCATTTTATATTAACAATGAAAATCGAACAAGAACTACAACACACGACTTGTCACAGCTGATTAATTTACACAATGTCGTCGAGGCGTGGGGAAAACATAAAAGGTCGCTTAGCAAGAAAGATTTAGATTAACCTCGCAAAATTACCGCAAATTAATGTTAAGCTCGCAAAACCTTTTTTTTTTTCAATAAGGTTTACCCTGTACAAGGCCAGAGAACACTCGTGGTAAAGGATTAAATAAAGGGTAGTTAGGGATTAATTCTAAACTTCAACAGGTTAAGATTGCAATGATTTAATACCACCTAATACACACGATCTCTCATAGCAGGCTAATTAACACAATGTCGTTCAGGCGTGGAAAACATAAAGATTTGTTAAATAAGAAAAAAACTAATAATAATAATATTTATAATAATAATAATAATAATAATAATAATAATAATATCTGTAGTAGAAAATATACTACTTTTATGGGAAGGAAAAAGCAAGAAACTGGTATGAACATTGCCCAGACCCGATTATAGGGATAGAACCTGTAAAAAATTTATGGAAAATAAACACAGACAAAACAATAAAAATTAATTGCCCAGATATCACGCTCAAAGAACACAAAAACAGAATGTGCTTTCTTTCTGACATGGAAGTCACTGCAGATTATAATGGATTTTTGGAGATCTGCAAAAAAATTCCAAAATATAAGCAACTTGAAATGGAACTCTCAAAAATGTGGCACATGAGGACATCAATAATTCCAGTTGAAGTTGGAGGCCTCAGATTGAGTAGAAAAGGTCTAGATGAACTCATTGAAGGGATTCCTGGTAGGCCATGACGTAAAGCAATAATGACATTGTACTGACATATACAGCTCACACATTACGAAGAGATTTAACTATGTAAAAATGCGAAAATTTTCCTTGAAACATTTCTGAACTTAGGTCACTTGTTTGCGCCCGAAAGAAAATGTGTATGCATCAAAAGGAAATAATAATAATTTAATAATAATAATTATATATATATATATATATATATATATATATATACTATTTACATTATTGGACTATTGTCATCATCTTTGTCGCCATATTTATTACAACGTTTCCTGTTGTATTAGATCCAGTGACATCTTGGAAAAATAGTGTGAGTTCAATACCCGGTTAAAGCAGTGGGAAAACTTGGATTCAATGAATTAAAGGAGATAACTGATAACTGACATCCATTAAGCATGGCGTGGAATTACAACAGTCTATTTAAAATGATTTTGAAATGAAGGGAAAGTTCGACATTCCAACCCATTGAAGAAGGCTGGAACGTACAATGACGAAGCGTTGTAATAAATATGGTTATGAAAAGTAGTCGAATAATATAAAAAATTTATATCCTTCATCTCATAAAACAGACATATATATATATATATATATATATATATATATATATATATATATATATATTTGATTTTCTTAAAGGTAGTGTAACTTTATTACATAAAAAAAAAAGGTAAGTCTCAATTTTACCCCTTTGATAAAAAAAATAACCGGTTTCACTCTCACTCAACAGAGGTCGAATCAAGGGAATAAATATCACAATATAAAATATAAAAGGTATTATGTACAATATGAAAGGCGGAACAATCTAGAGTGTAATAACGTCAAGTCCTAACACACTGTCCCTCTCTTTACAAAGAGAGGGCTGTATGGGCGTGACATAAATTGTTTCTAATGCCTTCAAATGTAAAATTGAGCAAGCGCGAAGCAAGATGGTGGAATAGAGAGTTCTAAAATTGATGGCACAATTTGGACTTTTTATGAAATGCTCTGCAATAGCTGAGCCATACGTATTATTGACAACGTTACTCAATTGGAATGTACCATTCCTAATTTTCTTAGGGACATGCTGACGCGTCTAGTATCAAGCCGTAGGGTAGTTCCACATATATAGTCAGCCCCGCAACTACATTTAAACTGATAAATCACATTATTAATATCGTGGTAGGGTAGAACATCCTTTCGAATGGACATCCATGCAGACCTAGTGTAAAGCACAACACGTGCATCAGACGAAAAATAAGAATTTTCAAATGCCGATCTAATTTGTTTGGCAAATTTTTCATTTACTGCACTCAACCAATGTAAACGAAAATAAATAAGGCATTTAATAGCCGTACTCGATTTAATTTTATAAAAATTAGATATTTTCTTACTAATGGATGACCTAATCACATCTAATGGATACCCATTTTTAGATAAAGTTTCAGTGATCGTTTTTATCTCTTCTTCTCTTCATCTAATTTGGATTTTGAGCAAATAATTAGGGTGTTAGGATTAAATTTATTTTCCGCTTGTTGGGACAGAATAGATCGTACTGAATATATAAACCGGTGAAAGTTGGTTTTCGGCAAAACCATGTTTTGGTAACCAGATGGAATTCTGGTGACCAAAACATCTAAAAATGATAAAGTTGAACTGATTTCCATTTCCATTGTATATTTTAATGCTGGATGCAAATCATTGAGTAAGGAGAAAAATTTATGCTCTATTGCATTTTCAAAGAAGCAAAATGTATTATCTAAACAGAGGTAGTGTCTGTTAGGACTTTACCTTATTTCAATCTATCGTGTTCCACCTTTAATATTGCACATTAAATGTCTTTTATATTTTATATTGTGATATTCATTCGCTCGATTCCATCTCTGTTCAGTGAGCGTGAAACCGGTCGTTTTTTGTTTATTTTTAATCACGGAGGGTAAAGTTGGTCTTACCGTTTTTTATTTCCATATATATATATATATATATATATAGTAAATTCTCACTCGGCAAGGTTTTATTTTGCAAAACCATTTTACAAATGCCATCATATCTATGATATATATGATATGTGAATATTTTAATTAGATTTGAATCTTAATGTTCCCAAAAATGCTAGGATGTAACCAACAAATTCTACAACACTGACACCATCCTGTAGTGCCAAAAATTATGCCCGCATTAAATGTGTTAAAGTCAAAGTTGATGTGCTATCCATTATTCTTATAATATATATATATATTTTTTAAATATTTATATATATATATATATATATATATATATATATATATATATATATATATATATATAGTTTATGCAAAATTAGGTAATCCGCAGGGGTAGACACCAAGGAGGATGATATCGGATTGATATCAATGTAAATTCAGAGCAGATATGTTTGAATAAAAACAGACCACTTTAAGGTTCCATGTAATAAGTTATGAACCAAAACCCCTTTAACAGGGCTCTGGATCATCAGACTTTACTTCCAAAGGTATAAATAAAAATGAAAAAAAATTCACACATTTTTGACGGACCGCATCAAGCATATGTAAAATTATATAAAAGTGAGGAAATGAGGTGGAGAGAAGATATGATGTAAGTTAGATGTACCATTTCAATTCCTTATTCTATATATATCATTGTGTAGGCACAACGTTATAGTAGATTTTTCCTTTAATGTCGGTCTTCTCCCTTACCCCTTACCCATCTATATCTAGAGATAACACGCGTTAAGTTTAAGCGATTGTCTATACTAAATATCTTATATAATTTCTCTATTTTGAACATGGTCCCCAGCTCCGTCGGTTCCACCGTCCATTCGCAAAAGCACGTCAATCAAGTGTCTCGCTGTCGTCCCCTCTCTCTCTTGTCTTCAATATGCCCCGGGAGTGTTAAATTTTCCAAGCCCACCTTCCTCATTATGCATGTAAGACATTTAAGCCAACATAGTAGAAGTATTATTTCGCTTGTTATTTTCTTACATATTCACTCCGTCCATGAAAACTTTCAGTATCCCTGTGTCGAATCACTTTGGTGTTGCTTCTAGATTTTTACTCATCCGCGCGAAGATTGCCCAGCATTAACTGCCATGTAATTCAGACTCAGACTAGTTTAATATATATATATATATATATATATATATATATATATATATATATTCCAATTGACATTTGGAAAAACGTTCAAGAAATTATGTTTCAGAAATAATATCCGATAATGCATTTCGTCTATATGGCTTCATCAGATGGAGGATAAAAATCTGTTTTGTGTGTATGCATTTGTGTGCGTTTCAATTAAATAAATCCCATATTATTTTTCCCAAATGTCCGAATTTTCAGATGAAAATCCTTCAGAATGGGTAGAAAATAGATGAAAGAATTGTTTTTATCCGTGCGTTCTCCTTCTTGTCAATGTATAATAAATTTGGGTATGTAAATCCGACAGAGTTTTAAGTTATTGACATTTGAAAAAACGTCCATGTAAGGAAGTGCCTAAAATAAATTATTACACACACACACATACACACACACACACACACATATGATAAAATATACCTTTACGTTATGCTATATTTATGAGTTAAAGTGCTCAATATCAAGGATAGAGAGTGTGTAAAAATTATGTAATATAAAAAGAAGATCTGAACTCATCACAGAATGCAGACGCAAAAACAAATTTTATTTTATAATCGAAAACGATAAACGAAAATGATGTATAAAAATAAAATAAATTAAGGCAAATAAATAAATAATGAATACCATACGCAAATTACCAAACTACCGATGCACACATAATCACAAGTACACATAAGAATAACAATTGACAACAAAATATAGCGTAATAATGAATAATGAGTAAAAAAAAAAATGTTAACAAAGAACAGTATAAAAATAACCAGGAGACTTCATTCGAATCCTCAATTATTGACACTCAATGGTCCCTAGAATGATTTGAAACATAACCGTTACTGCCCATCCAATTATCTTTGGAATAAAATAATATATCTATCCATAATTCACCAATGACCAACATATATAAAAAGTCTTGCAGAACACAACAGACATGGCCTGACAATTGCGTTTAAACATGAAACATACTGTCGCCGACTGGTGTTATATATACCAATTTATATTACACACACACATATACGAACACATATTATATATATATATGAAAATTTCTCTGATTTAATATATATATATATACAATATTTATGAATAGAAATGACAATAGGAAAACTGGTAATTGCTGACGCGTTTTGTCCAATGTGGACTTTATCAAAGCAAAATACGAAAATGAAATTAAATGTACAATGTAACTAATAAAAACAAAAACAGAATGTACCTAGCAACTGGAATGTAGAGAAACGCTATTTCATATTTTTACCTGAAAATAACGTCAGTAGTTGTCACGTGTGAAGAATATTGTCATTATATCTGTGTTGATGTATTCAACCATTTTCTTTTGATTTTATGAATCTGTTGTGTATATTTGTTTGTAAGAGCATTAATTTTGTTAAGAAAGGTGAAATGGGGAAAAATCCTGGGCGTAGATTAATATTTGGGTAATTTTCTATGGCGGCACTCTCCAGAATTTTCCTTCTGAGTGAGTTATTTTCTTTTTTTATGAGTGTAGCATTTTTAAAATCAAAATTATGGTTGAATTTATTTCTATGTATGACTATTGCATTAGCTAAGTTGTTTTTGTGAGGTCTCTTTTGTGCTCATAAATGCGTTTTTTTCAAACTTCTACTTGTTTCTCCAATATATTGGGAGGAACAGTTTTGGCAATTTATTTTATAAATGCCTGCTTCAGAAATATTAGTGCTATTATTGTTTGAAGATCTTAGTAAATAATTGAATTAAATCTGGAATTATTATAGGTTTCTATCTAAGAGCATTAAGAATCTGTAGTCCTCAATATTTATTTAAAGAAGAAACATACATATAAAAACACATTCAAAGACCTATAATACCCGGATCATTTCATTAGTTTTGACAAAGAAGAAAGGCATATAAAATATACAAACTTTTTTTAATAACATAATGAAAATAATAAATCACAGAAAGTGTAGGTTTTAAATGGTGTTTTCGACCAATTCTGTCACGAAAACGATCCAGAATAACCTATCCCATTTAAATAATCTTGAAAATAATCCAAACACTTCCAAAAATTTTTTAAATTTTTTGAAGGTGGTTTGAGTAGAAACTGATGAGATCATTTTTGTTTAAAGCCTTTTCTGTAAACGTCAAAATTGAGTTCGTTGTTATTTCTAATTAACAAAATGTCCAGGAACGGAAATATATATATATATATATATATATATATATATATATATATATATATATATATTCAAAAAAATAATAATTCCATCGCTACATAAAATTCTCGTGTTTTAAAAACAGGAAAAAAAACTTCAATTATAAAAATTAAATTGAATTAAATTATCATTGATCTATTTCATTTTTCTTGCTAAATTTTTGGAATGGCTAATCTGTAATATATTAATTACTATGGAAAAATTCAAACAATTATTTCAATAAGAAAATTTCATTAAATCTTCTTATGTATTGATTAAAAGTTTTTTATAAACACAAACAAAAAATACTAAAAAACTTATTTATTATTAACCTAACGTTTTCTTTCCTATTTTTCATATATATTTTAACAATATATATTTTATTTATATATATATATATATATATATATATATATTATTTTCGCATATAGATTGCACATCTACTGGGGAAATAGCATTTTCCTGTTGTTGATGACTATTCAATTTCATTTGTTTTTCTTCAAGGTCAATGCCAAAATGTTTTTCATATATTAAATATCCTTTGCAGACCTTCAAGTTTCTGAGAGAGATCGATTAATCTAGCCTGATCAGCAGTTTGACCAATAGCAGTACATTCAAAGCATGCGTCACAATTACTAGCGACTTTGTGATACAAAAACCAATCATTGTTTCCTAGCAGTTTTGCCTATTCAAATTTCATTTATCTGCTGGACCCTCTCTACAGTTCGATTTTAATTATTTATACATCAAAATCGGCCATTTTGTGATTCAAACGTAGATTTGAAGTTTACTGATTCTATGCGTGGTGATTGTTAAAAAAATCAAAGTGAATTATAGCTTAGGAAATCCATACTCTTTGTCCCTTATGAGTCATTCAATATGTGACTATGATTAAATATAAATAAATGACAGAACGGCCGAACGAACAGAATTGACAAAGTTTGTAATAAAATATAACAGATAAAAGAAAATCATAAGAGAAAATAATATAAAACAAGCAAAGAATAGATGCAAGGTAATTTTGTTTAACAAGTCAAATCAAAATTAATATGGTAACATTTTTTTCAAATTAAAAATTGGGGTTGAAAAGTGTAATATTCGGATAAACTAACGAAGAGTAGAAAACTTCAACACAAGACAGATAGGACTGAAGTCATACAAACCAAAAATGACACAAAAAAAAATTGGCTAGGAAGAAAATTTGTTCATCAATTTGTGTGCTTTTTTTTTGAATTGAACTTTTAAAAGGTTTGTATTTTGAACAACAATCAATTATTTCCATCTGAACATTTTTCTTATCGATGATAGCTTCAAAAATTTAACTGATGTGGTGATATTGTGATAGAAACGATGGCTATGATGAATTTAAAGACAGGTTTTCCTTTATAAGATTTTAAATAATGTGGTATAGATATATCTTTACTGGAAACAGTACCCTGATTGATGGACTGTTGCGATATTGGCCTGAGACCGACCATCACTACCCATAAATATGGCGATCATAAAGGGATAACAATGGTCTGAACAAGATTAGTCTATTTTACAAGAAAATTTTCTATTTTAACAACAGTGCAGACCCGATAATTATCATTTTCCGATAATCAATACATACACCCTGTTCTTATGTTAGATACGCGACTTCATCCGATCTTTTCCATACACGGACTCAACCATCTTCACAAATGACTTGAACGACCTGATCGTGATGTTCACTGTCCTAAGCGAAATGCAGTAACCGATGCCGTAATGTCAATAATATATTTATATTTATATCGATATACTAAGAAAACCCGGCGTAAGTGAAAATACGTTCTTGACAATTGATACTTTAGATTTGTCTTGTGAATACATCAGCAGATGTGACTGGCGAGATCTCACATACCAAAATTTCTGTATCCCTTCTATTCCTTTGTGCATATTAACAAGAGGAAACTTGAAGTACTTGCTAATTACAACAGGTGTCCCACGTCCTTTGAACCAAGTCATAAAAGAAGGAAGGTGTATTGATTCTTATCCGTATGCTTTTTAAACCGACAGAAACACAAATGTATTACCTCTTTAACTATTATATCATATATATGTCATTAAGACGAATCCATGATACGTTTCCTTCAGTTCTCTAACAATAAAATCTTTTTGTAATCTTTACAAATTGCATGTTGTGGATATTAATTGCAATTAAATGCTGATAGTATTAATTGTCTGTTTAGCAATAAAACGTTTACTGCGAAATCATGATGGCAAGAAAAGGGATCTGTCAACCAAAGGACGATAAACCAAGTGTTAAAAAAATGTTATGCAAGGAAGAAAATTAATTTTAAATTTAATTTTAAAAAAGTTTCTGCTTTTTAAAATATAGATAAATAACAATTCCCTTTATCGTTGCTTTACAAAATACTAACCAGAAATTGGAAAAAAATAATTATCTACAGTATTATTAATGAACAAAAATATGAAATATTGCGAATTAATTATCATGACTAATATGAATTAGTAGGAATTGGCATGAATATCATTATGAATAAATTAAAGTATTTTAAAAATATTATGAATGAATTAGTTCACTATTGCCTTTACAAAAGAAAAAGAAGAAAATTTCTAATTGCGGAAAGACAATCGTTTTACCAGAGGCGTCCAGATATGATAACTAGGTGAAGACTTTATATTAGAAATTCAGAATGGAAATGAAATTTTCATTGGTGGAAAGGGTTTATTGTAAACGTAAAAGTGTCCTTTTAAACGTGAATGTATAACCATATATAGCTAAGTGCTTTCTTTACACTTCTCCCAGTTTGGTTTATTAAATTTGACCTTATTTATTTTTAGAAATAATACTATTACACAACACACACACACACAAAATCATATATATATATATAATTGTGTGAAAATGTTCGTCGATCCGACAGAATCGAAACGTTTCGGCTGTTGTGTCAGGTTTATATCGATTTCAGAAATTCTAAACTGAAAACTTTAATTAATCTACTGGAGGAAGACTGCTCTCGATCCGATTGTCCATTATTTTCTTACTTCAACTCCAGAATGTAGACTACATACATTCACAGACAGGCAATGAATTAACTCAACAAAGATAAAACGTGTAATGCAAGGATGCGTTTTCTCAATTATTTTATTCAGCGTTTACAAAAATGCAACACTAAGTGATTTTTTATAGATACCAATTTCATTCAGTATCGGTAGACACAATATTAACTGCCTAATATATGCCGCAGGCGCAGAAATGAAACTGCAGGAAAAATACAGAGATTGTCTCAAATGAAAGCAAGACAAAAATGCTAAACATTATTTGTAAGACGACAGAATGTATATTTGTTATCAGGAAAATTAACTCAATATGCGTGCTGCCAAATGGAAAAATTAAAATCAATATCTGGAAAGTCTCTTAGCAGAAGACGGAAAATCTGACAGCCGAATCAAAAGGTGTGTTAGAATAGCAAATGATGCCTTTCTAAAACTCAGCAAAGAAACTGAAAAAAATATTTATCAGAAGCTAAGAAACGAGTGATCAGCTGCTAAGCATTATCGATCCCTCTTTTTTCGCACTGTCTGCTAGTTTCCTCACAGATGAAGAATCGACAACAGAGATGGGTTTCTGCAAAAGCAGCTGATAAAACTGTGAATAAGACATGTAAGCAATGACGAGGATTTACGGGTAATCTGTATTGTACTAAAAGTCTGTGAATCGTGCATACGTAGGCCGTCGGGAGGATAATGATTTAAGATTCTTTCTACCTTTCTCTTTCCAACTCTCTCTCTCTCTCTCTCTCTCTCTCTCACCCTCTCTCTCTTCCCCCCTTTCTCTCTCCACCTATCTCTTTCTACCTCTATCCTTCTCCTTCCACCTCTCTTTCTTTCCACCTCACTCTTAATACCTCTCTCCCTCTCCTTCAACATTTCTCTTTTCATCTATCTCTTTCCACCTCTATCTCTCTCTCTCTCTCTCTTTTCACCTATCTCTTTTCACCTCTCTCCCTCTCCTTTTCACCTCTGTCTTTCTACCTATCTCTTTCCCCCTCTCTTCTTTCCACCTCTCTCCCTCTCCTTCCCCTTTCTCTTTCCATCTATCTCTCTTTTTTCCCCCTCTCTCTCTCTCTCTTTCCACCTATCTCTCTCTCTTTTCACCTCTGTCTTTCTACCTCTTTTCCACCTCTCTTTCTTTCCACCTCTCTCTTCCTGCCTCTCTCCCTCGCCTTTCACCTTTCCTTTCCATCTATATCTTTCCACCTCTCTCTCTCTCTCTCTCTTCCACCTATCCATTTTCACCTCTCTCCCTCTCCTTTCCCTCCTCTTTCTACCTACCTCTCTTTCCCCCTCTTTTCTTTCCTCTCTCCCTCTCCTTCAACCTTTCTCTTTTCATCTATCTCTTTCCACCTCTCTCTCTCTCTCTTTCCACCTATCTCTTTTCACCTCTCTCCCTCTCCTTTCACCTCCGTCTTTCTACCTATCTCTTTCCACCTCTCTTTCTTTCCACCTCTCTCCCTCTCCTTCAACCTTTCTCTTTTCATCTATCTCTTTCCACCTCTATCTCTCTCTCTCTCTCTCTTTCCACCTATCTCTTTTCACCTCTCGCCCTCTCCTTTCACCTCTGTCTTTCTACCTATCTCTTTCCACCTCTCTTTCTTTCCACCTCTCTCCCTCTCCTTCCACCTTTATCTTTCCATCTATCTCTTTCCACCTCTCTCTCTCTCTCTTTCCACTTCTCTCTCTTTCCAACTATCTCCCTCTCTTTTCACCTCTGTCTTTCTACCTCTTTCCACCTCTCTTTCTTTCCACCTCTCTCTTCCCACCTCTCTCCCTCTTCTTTCACCTTTCCCTTTCCATCTATATCTTTCCACCTCTCTCTCTCCACTTCTCTCTCTTTCCACCTATGTCTTTTCACCTCTCCCTCTCCTTTCACCTCTGTCTTTCTACCTATCTCTTTTCCACCTCTCATTCTTTCCACCTCTCTCTTCCCCCCTCTCTCCCTCTCCTTCAACCTTTCTCTTTTCATCTATCTCTTTCCACCTCTCTCTCTCTCTCTCTCTCTCTCTCTCTCTTTCCACCTATCTCTTTTCCCTCTCTCCCTCTCCTTTCCACCTCTGTCTTTCTACCTATCTCTTTTTCCTCTCTTTCTTTCCACCTCTCTCCCTCTCCTTCCACCTTTCTCTTTCCATCTATCTCTTTCCACCTCTCTCTCTCTCTCTTTCCACCTATCTCTTTTCACCTCTCTCCCTCTCCTTTCACCTCTGTCTTTCTACCTATCTCTTTCCACCTCTCTTTCTTTCCACCTCTCTCCCTCTCCTTCCACCTTTCTCTTTCCATCTATCTCTTTCCACCTCTCTCTCTCTCTCTTTCCACTTCTCTCTCTTTCCACCTATCTCCCTCTCCTTTCACCTCTGTCTTTCTACCTATCTCTTTCCACCTCTCTTTCTTTCCACCTCTCTCTTCCCACCTCTCTCCCTCTCCTTTCACCTTTCCCTTTCCATCTATATCTTTCCACCTCTCTCTCTCCACTTCTCTCTCTTTCCACCTATGTCTTTTCACCTCTCTCCCTCTCCTTTCACCTCTGTCTTTCTACCTATCTCTTTCCACCTCTCATTCTTTCCACCTCTCTCTTCCCACCTCTCTCCCTCTCCTTCAACCTTTCTCTTTTCATCTATCTCTTTCCACCTCTATCTCTCTCTCTCTCTCTTTCCACCTATCTCTTTTCACCTCTCTCCCTCTCCTTTCACCTCTGTCTTTCTACCTATCTCTTTCCACCTCTCTTTCTTTCCACCTCTCTCCCTCTCCTTCCACCTTTCTCTTTCCATCTATCTCTTTCCACCTCTCTCTCTCTCTTTTTCCACCTATCTCTTTTCACCTCTCTCCCTCTCCTTTCACCTCTGTCTTTCTACCTATCTCTTTCCACCTCTCTGTAATTGCGTGCGTTCTCATTTATATTCCAGCCTTCTTTAAACAAAAAATATTTTAAATATTTAAATAATATTTTGGCCATATTTAAAAAATATTCTCAAGTGAATATGATTTTAAAAAAACATTGCATATTAATAAATATTTTGAGTTAATCTGATTTTTAAAATATTTTAAGAGAATAAGATTTAAAAATATATGTTGTTTATACAGTATTTTTATTTCGACTTTCTTCAAACAGACAGTTTTTAATGTTGAATTAAACTTCAATGTTTTATAACCTGAGGCGTCAGTGACCCAATGGATCCCGGGTAGTATAGTCTACATATAAAATTTTGTGGCTTCCTTCCGTCCGTTAGAACCTCTAAAATGACCTTTTATTGACCGATCGAGATCAAATTTTGGAGAAAAATGCAAACAGGTGAGAACAAAGAATTATTTGCCTTACTGAGGTGCGTATTATAAATCTTTATTAATTTTTTTGGAAAAATTACATTTTTTTATTTAACATGTGAAATAATTCCACTATTCTAAATACAATTTAATGAATAAAATAACAAATACTTATTCAATAAAAATGAAATATCGTTTTTTGTTTATCTATTCTTTAAGTTTTTTTTTAAGAATCCAGTTTCCATTTCGCCTTGTGTTTGCGAGAATTATGAACAAATACCAAAACCAAATACTTCAAAAGTTTCAATTTGGCTACAGAAAGAAATATTTACGCATGACTAATTATATACTTCAAGTGTAAGAAATCATAAAAATTTAGTCTTCGCTGTTTAAAATGAAAAGGAAAAAAAAATTTCTTAAAAAGTACTGTTTACCATGAAGAAAAAAACATAAATTAAAATTAAATTAAATTAAAGAAATTATTAAACCGTATTTTTTTTTGTCAAAATATTTTTTTTTAAAAACAAATCAGCTTATTCAAATTTCTTCGACTGGTTTGCAAAATTAAACGAAACGTAGAATTTGTAAATCAAAAGATGTTAGCGATAACTTCAACTATGCTAAATACGGAGAGGATTCCAATATACTTCAGCTTGTTGCAAATAAATTCTAGTGGGTGATATATCAAGTTTTAGAGTTATCAGAAAATTAAGTCCCTACACTGCGTTAGCAACTTGCAAAAATATTCTAGTTATACATACAATCAGAAAGAGACTGTTGAGGAAAATGAGAAAAGAATGTTAGGAAAATTTGACAGTCACAAGGGGATACTGAAGGAAAGACAGGTAAAAGGATTAACATGGATTAACATTTTGAGCCCTGGCCACCGCTTTACCGGCGGTAGAGAAAAATGGCGTCGTGCCCAGCCACCGGTTAAACAGTGGTAGAGAAAAATGACTTAATACCCAGCCACCGGTTGAATAGTGGGTAAACACTTGTAACTATTTTTTATATCTACCCCAAAACATTACATTCCAATTATTTGCGGATTTTGACCCAGGAGCTCAGACAGAAAAGTTAACATTCTTCAGGAACGCAGGCAGCAAAGCGTTAAGTGATTAACTTACCTAACGATTTTGTGTAAATATATCGCAAAAGAGTCAGTTCGAGGAATATTGAAAAGGCTGAATTTGGTAAGGGATATAAATTTATGGAGAGGCATGATCGCCTACGCCCTGAAGATACCCAGAAGAAAACAGAACTAATGCTCTCATAAATATAGTGAGCTACATGTCCCCATGTCCAGACTTAGTACGTGCCGCTGGGGGAATCCCCCTGACGAATTCTTTAGTAAGGATTGGTAGAGGAGTTGCAGTGTGTATTTTCCCGTCGGGATGGATGTAGTATCTGTTCTCTTGCTTTCCCCCATTGTTGGGTGACATCTGTTACGTAGCGGTGGTTTGACACAACCTGATTCAGAGGGTGGTCACGTTAATCTCGGACAGTGGAGGGCTGGATCTAATAATATTGGTTGCTAGAAATCAAGGTAGCCTCACCCATAACTACAATTCTATAATTTTAATAAAATTTTCAAAAAATGCATATGCAAAAAAGAGTGCAGTTAAGATTTTTGTAAGAAACAAATGTGAATTTCTTAGTAATTTGATGGTAGATGTAATGTGCATATTATAGGCAGTTCATACCAAATTCCGCTACAGAATGTTATAATAGAGTTTTTGATATATTTAATTTAATTTTAAGTAAGCGGTTCATATTTTTAAATAGTTTACTGCACAAGTGCCCTATTAATAGATAGTTCAAAATCAGAAGAGAGCGTCGTATGCAGCCCATAATATTAAGAGCAATGATTTTGCGAATCTGCCTATAATTGCTTCTGCATCCAGTTCATCTATTAATTCCTTTTTGATGCATAATATGTATGATTCCAAAATTTTCCTCGAACTGCTATTTTCATAACCATATCTTTATGATCTCCAGCTTTTAAAATGGCCTCTCATATTAGACTTGAGCAACTCTTAGATTAATTTATAAAGTTCTTATTCTTTTTTATTAGTAAAATAGTTGTCCGTGTTTGTTTTTTTATTGCATTTTCTTATTTGATATAAGAGACCCTACTCCATCTTGGTCACACTTGCCATCAGTCAAGCTAACACTCTAACCTGTCCGCCACTGCACCTGAACAGATATGGAGCACTCAATGAAAAGGGAATTTGTTATGCACGATGAATAACTAGCAAGACTAGACTAAATCAATAGGAGTTGGACAAACCTGAACCATCGTGGCCTTAAAAATAAAATGGCGTATCAAAAGGGCTGTTTTGTTTTTCCATTGAAACCGTTATTATTTTTAATACCTTCATTTCTTGGTAATGTTTATTGTTTTAAAAAACGACGATAAGATTTGTAATAAAACCAAAACATATGATGAATGTGAATTTATACATTCTTTGTTCTTGAGAATTTACAACAAAATATGAAAAACTTTATTACATCGTTCAAGTTCAAAAATAATTTTATATTTTCAACATTCTAAAAACTAATAGAATTATATTAAAACTAATGTAATTCAATATAAATCATTTAACAATTTATAAAGAAATAAATGTGTTTTTGTAAGATGTATAATAGTAGAGGAAACAAAAGTGAAGATGTTGAGAGGTGGAAAATTGTATTAACGACTTGTTCTTCCCGGAGAAGCGAATACTCCCATTAATCTACCGAGGTATAAATGAAAGAAGACAAAACCGTATGTAAGGATCTTGTGATGTCTGAGAATAAGTTGGAATCATAAACCAAATTAATTACCTTAGCTTATCACTTCCCGATGTCCAGAATTAGAGAGTACCTGTTCGTCTATGTCTTTATTTACTCACAACAAAACAAAGACAAAAGTCTGTGTAAACATATGTCCGCAAGACCTTCCTGTTGGGGTTATTAAGTTTAAAGTTTACGTTAGACGCTGTTAAATATACCATTCGAGCGGCCATAATTAAAAAACATATCTGCCTGATCACATCGTCAGACCATGTTTCCTCTGTCTAATATTCTTCTTGCTTAAAGTTTGGTTTAGCTGTCTTTTTTAGCGGCATATCACACTCTGTGAATTGAAATGCCTAATTCTAAATATTTTTTTATGTAATTTAATGGCTTCAACTTCGTATCTGTTGAACGCAATATTTTGCCTTCAAATACAGATATTTTGTACATAAACTGATATTTTCAAAGTAAACGCATGTTGTATAGGTATAGATATATATTTTATATTGAAGTAATTCATCGAGTCTAGAAAAATCCGCTTAAAATCCTCGTAATAATTTCTATGACAGATATATATTTTGTAGAGTGTCTATTGTAGGTTTTATATGTTTTCGTATAAAGCTATTTATTCAAGGTAGGAGATTATGTTAACAGTTTCAGTTTTTTCAAATAGTTTCCACATTTTTTTTCTTTGTACTTATGTCTTTTAAGGTTTGGTTGGGTTGCTTTAACTGAGCGGCATATCGACATCTATGGGTTATTTAATGAGAAACTGTAAATATTTTGAACGCAATATTATAGCTTCAGCTACATATATTTTGATCGCAATTTTATACCTTCAGATAATCTGGACAGTATTTTATACTTTCAGTCTAAACGTATATTTTATAGATATATAGTTTGTAGTTAGTCTGTAGTAGGTAACATATCGTTTACTGTAAACATATTTCTTTAAGGTACGACATTTTGTTGACGGTTTCATTATTTTCAAATAGTTTTCTCGTGTTATTTTCCTTCTAGTATTTATGTCCTATAGAGGATAAGGGAGTAAATTCAGTTGAAATATGTTTCACCGTGCGTCCGGCTTAGCATATTATACATGTTGGTTGATCATCAGTCTTCAGCTAGTATGAATGGGTGAGGTACGTGTAGACGAGCTAGTGTTACCCGTTTATTCTTCCCCTTCTAGACATCTGTTTTCATTCGCCTCGGATTGGTTTGATTGTGAGAAGTCTATTAGTTCTGTTGTTAGCTCAGCGTTTTTGCCATTTCTGTTGAATGGAACTGTTTATTTTACTTTTCAGCTCCGTATAAAGGATTTTGAAATTATTGTTACTTCAGCTACAATATTTTCAACGCAGTTTTATATCTTCAGATGATTTGGACAGGATTTTTTACTTTCAGTCTAGACGTATATATTATAGGTATATAGTTTGTAGATGATCTATTGTAGATGTTATATGTTTTGATATAAACCTATTTCTTTAAGATAGGACATTTTCTTGACGGTTTTATTATTTTCTATTTTTTCGTGTTGTTTTCCTTGTGGTATTTATGTCCTATTGAGGCAAAGGAGTAAATTCAGTTGAAATATGTTCACCGTGAGTCCGGCTTCGTATGTTGTACATCTTTAGTTTTCAGCTACTATGAATGGGTGAGGTAAGTGTAGCCGAGCTAGTGTTACCCGTTTATTCTTCCTTTTCTAGCGGCATATCAACGTCCTTGCGTTATTTAATGATGAACTGTAAATATATTGTACGCAATTTTATGGATTCAGTTACATATATTTTGAACGCAACTTTAAACCTTCAGATAATTTGGACAAGATTTTATACTTTCAGTCTATATATATATATATATATATATATATATAT